CGTTTTGATGTGCTGTCGGGTTCTATTTTGTGGTATTCTGTTGAGGATTTTTACGTCTATATTCACAGGGATATTGATCTGGAGTTTTCTTTTTTTGTTCTGTCTTTGTCTGGTTTTGGTCCCAGGGTGATACTGGCCTCATAGAAAAGAGAGATATCCTCCCTCTTCAATTTCTTGGAATAGTTTCAGAAGGATTGGTTTTAGTTCTTCATATGTTTGGTAGAATCTGGCTGTGAATCCATCTAGTCCTGGGCTGAGTGCAGGGCATTAACACAACAAGTGAAGCCACTTCCGGCAGCGGAGAAAACAACTGCAGGGACAGAAGCGGACCAGGCTTCGTGTGGTCTGCTTGGAGCCATCTCGGCTTCACAGAGCTCACTGCCCACTGCCTCTGACAGCCACACCCAGGGCCTCCGCCCCTGCCCCGGCCAGCTGGGGTGTGTCCTCTCCACTGCAGACACAAGCGCCCCCCTTCTCTGCGGCCCTCAGCTCTGCGACGCCATCCTCTCTCTGGTCCTCCGTGTCTCTGCCAGGCATGGGCTCCCGTCCACATCTTTTCTGCCCAGCACACTGTCCTGTTGCCGTGTCCCCGCATCCTTCTTCCCTAGCATCGGCTGTGGAACTGAGGTAGCAATGGCTGGCATATTAAGAATGTGCTCCAACCAGCTCTGCCTAGGGCTGAACACCCCCCATGTGGCTTCCCCTCCTCATCAGCATCTGACCAGTGGCAACAGTGAGGCCACAAGGCTCAAATGCCCTTCTCTGGGTCACAGGTGTGTGATAGTGGAGCCAGAGTCGCTCCCTGGCAGCAAGACCCAGAACCTGCACTTTCATTCCATGTTCCACAGCAATTCCAACCCCAAAATTGAACTTGACTTCTTTAAACAATATAACCAGATGCAATCATAGCCCAAACACACAAGGCACGTGCACACACACAGGTGCAAACACACACACATGCACACACACAAAGACACGGGCACAGGCACACACAGGCACGTGCACACACACACGCAAACAGACACGGGCATGTGAACACATCCACACACAGGCACACAAGCAGGTGGACATACAGGTGCAAACACATGCACACATACAGAGACACAAGCACACGCACACACTCGTGCAAACACACAGAGACACACAAATACACAGCTGAACATAACGCAGCTGAACACACACCGACATACACCAGCATGCATATTCACACCTACAGGTGCACATTCACACACAGGAATACACAAACACACGCATGCATGTGCACACACACTCACGTGCACACCCACATCCCCGCAGACATTACCTAAGCTGCCAATGACCTGTGGGAACGACTTCAACACCCCCATCAGCCTTCCCAGGCCCCACACCCAGGCAGGCACCTCGTTCCTTCAGTGACAGGCGTCACACTGACCACCCCCTCAGGCCCCATGCACCCAGGCTGTAGCTTGTCCCCAGCCCAGGACCCACACAGGAGCTGCTTAGGGTTCTCAAGGGGCTGTGACTGCTCACCTGCTGTGGGCCACACCCCCACGGGGCCCAAAGAAGCTGCTCAGCCCATAGGCCATCAAAGGACATTCAGCTGCCAGGGGTGGGTGGACGCCTGACAGGTCCAGCTGCAGGCCTGGTGGGAGCGGCTCCACCTCAGCTGCTGGGACCTGGCATCCCCATACTTGGTGTCGGAGGCCTTTTCATGTCTGCTGCTGTCTGTCCCCAGGAGTCCATTCCTCCCCCTACTCCCTGTGCTTCCATCTTCAGCATGGGGCCTCCCAACGGACCTGGGCTCCTGTCCTGGTCTCCCACTGCAGACCCGGATGGCCCAGCGTCTTCCGCCATCGCTTCCGCCCAGGGCTTCCAGTGCTACCCACCACGCTGTGTCTGCCCTGCCCAACCTCCACTGTCAGCCTGAACCTCTGCCCACAAAACCCAACGCCAAACCCAGGCAGGGTGGGCGAGGGTGCTGGGCAGCAGGGGCTTGTCCCTGAGAGCCGGCCTCCTCCTATGTGACAGCTGCCTGGCCTGGTGCTCCCAACTGCGGACACAGAACCTGTGCAGAAAGCCGTGGAAACAGCCGCAGGCAGGCGCCTCGGTGAACGCTGCTGGTCACTGGCGCGGCGCCACAGGTGGAGCTGGGAAAAGCTTTGGTGTTGCGGGGGTAGTGCCCCCCACCCAAAAAATTCACATCGACCCAGAACCTCAGAGTAAGACCTTTAAAATAGGGTCTTTGTAGATGTAATTCCATTAAAGATTTTGAGATTATCCCAGCTTATCCTGGTGGCCCTTAAATCCAGTGACAGGTGTCCTGATAAGCAAAGGAGGAGACAGACACAAACTCTGGGAAGGAGGCCCCATGAGGACAGGGGCAGAGGTGGAGCCATGCGGCCACCGCCCAGGACCACCTGGAGCCACAGAAGCTGGAAGAGATGGGAACCTCCTGAGCGCACAGGCCTTGATGTGGGACTTCTGGCCTCCTAAGCCTTAGGAGGGAACCTCTGTTGTTCAACCCATTTGTAGTGATTTTCTCAGGAGCCCAGGAAACATAACGGGACACTGTGCGTGGATCACATCATTGGCTGTGCGTCAGTTTTCAGTAATTGCAGGGTAAATGGAGGCCATCCAGGTCTGGCGGTGTAGCCAGAGCTGGGGTCAGGAAGGGCCACTGGAGAGGCAGCCATGGCCAGGTGAAGAGCCTGGAGTCCCGAATCGGGATCCACCTCTCCCGACTGGGCAAGATCCTGTGCCCCCGTTTCTGGTGATTTTGTAAGTGCTGACTGAACCGACTGCCGCTGGGAAATAACATCCGTGACCCCAAACCAAAATTTCACCCGCAGACAAGGAAGTAGACTCCATGAACACCCGACTCCCGACGGTAGAACCAGGTGCCCACCCCAGCCCCGGTCACTGTGTGTCCTGCGCAGGGGCCAGGGCAGCCCAAGGCTCAGTTCTGTCCTCCTGCTGAGACCTCGCTCAGCCCCCTGGACGCCGCCCCGCGCCCCCTGCCTCTCCTCTCCTCACAAAGGCTCCAGGACCATGTCTGTCTCTGAAGCCTGACGTTACCTCCCACTGCAATTTTATTGTAAAATCACTGCGTTTATGTCAAGAGAGTTTGTACAGGTTTCGAAAAATGCACTGAAGAGTCACCTTGTGCCTAATAGGACAGTAAGAACACACCAAGGAGACACCATTTCATTATTTCATTGGTGCTGTTAGTAGGAACTGCCTGAGGGGGAGGCGCCCCGGGCTCCGCGGGACAAGAAGGCCGTCAAGCCCGCACCGAGCAGGAGGGAAGCAGGAGCCGCAGCCTGGCCGCCGCACAGCTTTGGGGGTCTCCCAACTTCCCTGCTGTGAGTGCGGAATTTCTCAGAAGAATTACACAGAAGCCCATCTCTGGTCAGTTCTGAGTGGAAGGAGAAACCACAGGAGAGGAGAGGAAGTGTGGGGCCCGAGACCACCGTGGGGTGGGTGGGGGCCAAGCCGCCGGGCTCTGAGGCCTCAGCACCCCCTGCCCAGCACCCCAACTTCCCCTGCTGCCTTTGTGGGCTCCAGGGTCTGCTGGACACCTGGTGCAGGGACAGAGTCGGGGCTGGGGTAGGAGCTCAGCTGCACCAGACACAGTGGAGCTGGAAGTCACCAGAGGCACCCCTTCCTCCTGGGGGGCTGTGCCTCGGCCTCCTCAAGGCAGGGGCCCCTGTGCCCCTCAAGTCCCAGCACCCGGCACCACAGAACCGCCCTGTCAGCTCGGCCCAGAACCTTGTGCGGAGCCAACTCCTGCGGAGGGCCGGTCAACCCCGGGCAGAATGAGCCCCCTCCGCAAAGCCTGTCTAGCGGCGCGGGGCCACAGGTGCCCAGAGAAAGGCGAGATTAGAAGAGCTGCCGGGATGGTGGCGCTGCACACGGGCGCCCTGCAGGGAGAACAGAGGCTGAGGCCGAGGGCGGGGGTGCGCGCTCTGCTCTCCGCTTCTGCGGGAAGGGCGGCCCAGTCCCAGGCAGCTGCGCTCCGCGCCCGGCATGGACCTGGCTCCCTGCTCAGGCCGACCCCCGGCCGCGGTGCCCCCACCTGGGCGCCCAGTCCCCGGCCTGCGCCTAGCCTTGGGGTCCGAGCACCTTCACAGCCCGGCCCTGCCGCTTCCCTGCACCGTCTGCAGCTCTTTAAAGAACTGGACGCGGTCGGGGGTCGCCCAGCACTGTCCTCGCGCCCCTCGCCGCCAACCCACCCCACCCCAGGAGGCCGCGTCCGCGCTCATCCATCCCCCGCCGCACCGTCCACGGGCGTCCTGCGGGGCGCAGAGATCGGGGTCCGGTCGTCCCCGGGGGGGCCCGGAACCAGGTGAGGGGCCCCGCCGCACCCTGCCCAGCGGTTCCCACGGCCCGAGGGTCGACCGCGCCCTGCGCTGAGCGGATACCCGGTGGCCGGCGGGGCCTGCGCGGAGCCGGCCTTGTATGGCAGAGGCCACAGTGCGCCCCGCGCGTTCCCCGAGCCGGGTGGGGCGTCGGGGGCGGGGCTGCCAATGAGCGCGCGGGGCGGGGCTTGGGGCGGGCACGGGACGTTGGGGGCCGGGGGCGGGCCCGGTGCGGGGCGGGGCTGGGCGGGACCGGCTGGCGCGGGGCCGCGGCGGGAGCGCTCCGCTGAGCACCAGGTCGCGCGCGGCCGAGTCGCGGAGGCGCCGCCGCTGCAATCGCTGCGTCTCCAAGGTAAGCGGGCGCGGGGCTCGGTCCTGCGGGCGCGGCGCGGGGGCCACCCAGGGGCGCAGACTGGGCCCGTCAGCCCCAGCAGCCACCTGAGCCGCAGCCCCTGCCCCCCGCGCTCACCCGAGCCCCCTTCCCGGGCCGTCCCGCGCGTCCCGGCGCCCCCGGATTGGGATGCCCGGAGTTCGGCGCAGCGCGCTCGGTGCCCGGAGGCGGCAGGGAGGTTTCGCAAAGGCCAAGGGCGGGGGTCACCGTCCGCCGCGCCAGGGACAGATCTGTCACCGTCTCCGGGCCCTGCGCCTGGCGCTTTGGCCTTTCTTCGCTGCCGGGGACGCCCCTGCAGCCTTTCCCTCCAGGCCCTCCCCAGCCCGGGACTCGAACCGTTTCCCTATTCCCAGGCCTAGGGGGCCGCCGCCAATGTGAGGCGTGGGAAATTAGGGCGTGGAGGGCTGGAATGAAGCCACAGCCCACAGCGGGTTTTGAGAGATCCCGGGCCATAGAAACGACCCAGAATGAGCCGTCTCGGGGTCCTGACACCACCGCGTCCCGGCAGGTGGGGGTGTCAGACCGTCCCCCGCAGAGCCTCGGGCTTCCCCGGGCCTTGGCTACCGCCCGCGGGCCTGTGGCGATGGAGAGGCGCTGCCGGGACACCTTCCCGCACCCCTGGGAGCAGCGCCCGAGGATCTGAGGAGCCCTTTATTCTGCGGTTTCGGTTACGTAAACGGAGCCGAGGGAGGTGAGAAGCGCGTCCCTCCCTGGCCGTGGCGGGGCTGGTGTTTTGATGAGGGTTTAGGGGCTGCTGTTTTGATAGCGGTTGGGGGGCTGCTGTTTTGATGGGCTTTGGGGGCTGCTGTTTTGATGGGGGTTTGGGGTCTGCTGTTTGGATGGGCTGTGGGGGCTACTGTTTTGATGGGGGGTTTGGGGGCTGCTGTTTTGATGGGGGTTGGGGGCTGCTGTTTTGATGGGGGTTTAGGGGCTGCTGTTTTGATGGGGGTTTGGGAGCTGGTGTTTTGATGGGGGTTGGGGGGGCTGCTGTTTTGATGGGGGTTTAGGGGCTGCTGTTTTGATGGGGGTTTGGGGGCTGGTGTTTTGATGGGGGTTGGAGGACTGCTGTTTTGATGGGGGTTGGGGGGCTGCTGTTTTGATGGGGGTTGGGGGCTGCTGTTTTGATGGGGTTTGGGTGTTTTGATGGGGGTTGGGGGGCTGGTGTTTTGATGGGGGTTGGGGGCTGCTGTTTGGATGGGGTTTGGGGGCTGCTGTTTGGATGGGGGTTTGCGTTCCCTCTCAGTGTCACCGCTGATCCACCTGGCATGTTTATTGGCTCTTCTGCGTGCAGGGCCCCTGGGAGACCCATAGAGGACTGGGCCCCTCAGCCCACCCCGTCCACCCCTGCCCGCCCGACTTCTCTGGGGGAGAGGTCTCCCCCCGCGCCCAGCCAGCCCCTGCCCCTGGCAGGTGACCCAGCTCCCTGTGGCCTGGGACTAGGAGATGGGGCTGGACGGAGGCCTGGAAGGGGCAGGAAGTGGAGGGGAGTGAGGCAGCTGCAGCCTGATGCCGGCGCCTTGAACTGGGCTCTCGCGCCTGTCAGCAGCTGGGTGCCAGCGCCTCCCCACCACGTGATCCTCGGAGGGCCTGTGGGGGAGGGGCGGGCTCCAGGAGCGGCTGCAGAAGGCGAGCTCCAGGAGGGTGTGTGCGTTTCCCGGGAGGGGTCTGCAGCTTTCATGGTTTCTAATGGGATCCCTGATTCCGAAAGGCGCCGGCATGAACTCGCTCTGCATCTTCACAAAGCATGAAGTCAGGGGTACTGGACCGCGTGTGCGTGGAGGAAGCTCCCTGGTCACTGGCTGCATTTTCGTTTTACAGCTGGGGTTGGTCCATCTTCCCGAATTCCCTGAAGTTTCAATACATGTTTTAACGATTATACAAGGTTATAAATGCTCATTGTGGAAATGCGCATAGAAATGCTCATAGAAATGGTCTAAAAGGGGCTTCCTTTTGACCCCTCTACCCTAATTTGCAAGCCTCACACTGGCAGTGGCTGCCCTAGGCCTGGGAATCGGTCAACAGGGTTTCTGCCTGGGGCTGGGCAGGGTCTGGAGGGAGGGGCTGCAGGGGGCCTCCGTGGGCACAAAGGCCAAAGCACCACACGCAGGGCTCAGCAGAACTTCCTAAAGAAAATTAGGATAACCCATCGTAGATGGAGACTGGGAAGCTCTCTGGAGAGCAGGCAGTCTGTTCCCTCCCAGGCCTGTGGGAGCCACTCCCTGCAGAGGACGCTGAGAATTAAAAGCTTCCTTGGGAGACGCTGTGCCAGCAGAGAGCCGAGTCTATTTATAGCTGGTGGTGAGACAGGAGGACTGTGTGAGAGGGATGCCATCTGGGGCTCTCGGGGGCCCCAGGCCAGTGCTGGTCAGCGCCCTGCAGTACCTGGCCCAGCCTGGTGCCCTCAGGCAGAAGTGCCTTCGGGAAAACACTCTGGGTGAGGAGAGTCAGTCATTGCCTCTGCCTGGGCTGGGGGAGCCAGAAGGCTGTGCCCAGGAGGGTTGCGGCCGGGTGTCAAGTCCATCTGAGCCCACAAACCCTCAACCAGGAGCCAGGATCAGGCAGCAGAATCTACACACGCCTAGTTCCTACTGCTGGAGCCAAAGATGTTTCCTGGGAAGGAAGGGGTGGAGCTGCCTGGGTCAGGCCCAGCCACATCTGGGGCTCAGACCTGGTCCCCGGCATCCACGAGCCAAACCCCAAGATGCCCTGCATGGATCCTCCTCCTAGGGAGACCACTTTCTTCTTGGTGTGTGTGTGTTAGGGGGTGCCACAGGGCCATAACCCACCGCATGCCCCTGATATGATCTTCCACCCAGGGCAGCCCCCACCCAGATGATCCCCCACCTGAGGCAGCCCCCACCCAGATGATCTCTCACACAGGGATTCCCTCCTAGGGCATTGGCAACAGATATCCCCCTAAGGTGACATCCCCCTCCCAGGACATCCCCCTCCCAGAGCTGCCCCCTCCCAGAGCCACCCCCTCCCAGAGCCACCCCCTCGGCCATTCCTTCCCCAAGACTCCACCACCCAGGACAACGTCCACAAGGATTCCCCACCCAGAGAATCCTCCCCACATGGCCTCTCCACCCAGGGAATCTACCCCCACTCAGGGCATCCCCGCCACATGGCATCTCCACCAAGGGCACCCCCCCCACCCAGGGCATCCCTCCACCCAGGGCATCCTCCCCACATGGCATCTCCACCCAGGGAATCCCCCCCAACCCAGGGCATCCCCCCACCCAGGGAATACCCCCCACCCAGGGCTTCCTCTGCACATGCCATCCCCACCCAGGGTATCCCCTTCCCTGGGAAATCCCCCTCCCCAGCACATTCCCCCCACCAGGGGATTTCCCTCTCCCCAGGGCATCCCTCCCAGGGTTCCTCCCCCAAGGCTTACCCCTCCCTAGGACTTCCCCCCTCCAGGGCTTCCCCATCCTGGGCATTTCACCTCCAGGCCTTCTCCCTGCCAGGGCCTCCAGGGCACATCAACTCAGCAGCACCTCCTCAGTGGGGCAGCCCCTCCCCAGCGCTGCAGGGCTCTGCCTGGGAATGGCTTTGATTGGCCCTGCTGGATCCAGGGGAGGGGCGGGTTCTGTGGTCTGCAGCCCCCTGGAATCACGCCTGGGGAAGGGCAGCACCCCGCAGGAAAGTGGCACGTGGTTCTCAGAAAAAGAATTAAGAAAAACATCAGCTGTCCCTAAATCTTATTTCCTGATATGCAAATTAAGACCGTTCTGGGTTCCATGTTGCTCCTTTAACTTAAGCACTACTTAATTGTGAATTGTAATTTAATGTCTGAACGTCCAAATGTGTGACTTTCTTTGGGGAAGAAATATAAAAAATCTTTCAAAAGAGTGGAAGCAGGCAAAGCTTTCTGTCTTTTCATCATACCAGCTGCCTTCTGCAGCCTCATCCGTTCAGAAAGCTGGGCTTCTCCCTTCCATCGTGGAAGGGTGAGCGCCTCCTCTGAGGACCCCAGTTGTGCTGACGTCTTTGAAAAGTGAGGTTCTGGAAGGGAAGGGAGGTTCTTAACCTTTCTTTAAGCCCAGCGGTTAAGGCCACCTGGAGCCCTTTCCCCGTTCAGCGCGGCTCAGGGAAGGGATTGGTGCGTGCGTTCCTCCGGGCCGGCTCTGTGTCCCACGTCTGACTTCTTGGCATGATCAAAGGTGCCCACCCATGTGGGCTCCACGTGATCCCCCAGTGCGCATGGCGTCACAGACCACATTTCCCAGATTCCATAACCTGTAACCCCAACCTGCTCATTTGTTCACAAACGTCCAATGTGACCTCTGCCCAGGGAATGCCACCAACAGCCGCACCTGCCAGGCGACTTCACACACCCGCTGCCTCCCTCTGGCCATCAGTCATCAGTCAGTGGGGACAGGAGCAGCGAGCACCCGTATGGGGTCTGGACGTGGCTTCCAACCCAGGCCCTGGCCCAAGTGCCCTCACGTATGACACAGGCGAGCTCCCAGCACCCTCTGCCTTGTGCACAGCCACCTGCATCTCCCACCCATGGTGTCTCACAGGTGACCTGGCCACCGTGGCTGCTTCTGGGGCGTCCATCCTCTCCTGTGCACACCAGCCCCCGCTTCTCCTAAGGCTGCCCAAGTGCCGGTTTCCTCTGCTCCTCGGCGGGGTGGCACCTCTGCCTTCTCAGTGCCAGAGGAGCCTGGGCCATGGGTGGAGCCACTGGGGTGAAGCTCATCTCAGCCTCACCTCCCACCAGGCTTGTTCCTGCCACCTTTGCCAGTGCCCACGTGTCCCCAGGCCGCCTGCTGTGAGGGCCCCAGCTGGCACCTGGCACAGTCCACCTGCAGTTCTAGTGCCAGTCGTTGTGGGCTGCCTCTCTTCGTGTTCCGGGAGCGGGATGGGGTCTTACTCACTGTCTGTTTTCTCATCGAATCACCAATTCCTGAGCACTGTGCTCTGGCTTTGCCTGTGTTTTTAACGTTTAACCAGAAGCCGCGCAGTGGGCACTCTGCCGTGCCGGCTCACCATGGTCAACAGTGTGCGCGAGTGTCCGTGCACACTGCATCGAGGAGCCCCAGGCGCTCGCGCTCATGCTGCCCACACTCTCGCGGGGATGCCCGCTGTCCCTCAGACCACCATGCTGGCAGCAGGCGCCTGTCCACTCGGTTTCCCTTTCTTGGCAACTAGAGATGAAGCTGTCGTGGGCATTCCTGGGATGTTCTTTGGGGCATGTGGGCAGGAGTCTCTTGGGTCAATCTGGAAGTGGAGCCGTTGGATCCGGGATCATGTGTGTCTTTACATTCATCAGATGATGCCAAGCAGTTCCCAGAGGGGTCGAAGCCATTCACCCACACAGTTTCCTGTTGGCCCGTGTCCTTGCTGGCACTTGCCACTGTCAGCCTTTGCAATGTCTTAGCCTTTTCTAAGGCTGTGTGGAAGCCTTATGATTTGCATTTTCCTGGTCATACTAACGAAGCTGAGTGCTTCCCGCCGAGCACTGGGCACTTGGATACCCCATCCCCGAGGGGCCTTTTCAAGCCAGCTGCGCTTTGTGTATTGAATTCTTATTGATCTGTACAGGTTCTTTATATATTCTGGAGACAAGCCAACATTTGTGGTGTGTAGCAAACATCTCCTACTCTAGGGTTTGCCTTTTCACTCTCTTGATGACATTTTTTCAATGAACAGAAGTCCTTTCTTTTAATCTGGTGCCTTCTA